AACGACTCACACCAGGACGAGGGCCCCGAACGACTCACACCACGAGGAGCCCGAACGACTCACACCAAGAGGAGCGGCCCGAACGACTCACACCAGGACGACGGGCCCGAACAACTCACCCAGCGAGAAGCCCAAACGACTCACACCTGGACGAAGAGCCCGAACGACTCACACCACGAAGAGCACGAACGACTCACACCAGGAAGAAGGGCCCCAACGACTCACACCACGAAGGCCCGAACGACTCGAAGCACGAGAAGCCCGAACGGCTCACACCAGGACGAGGGGCCCGAACGACTCACACCACGAGGAGCCCGAACGACTCACACCAGGAAGAGGGGCCCGAAGGACTCACACAAGGACGATGGGGCCGAACGACTCACACCACGAGGGGCCCCAACGACTCCCACCAGTCGCCGTCGTCGTCGTCGTCGTCGTCGTCGTCGTCGTCGCCGCCGCCTTCGTCGTCGTCGTCGTCGACGTCGTCGTCGTCGTCGTCGTCGTCGTCGCGGTTGTGGTCGATATCGTCGTCGTCGTCGGGTGCGTCGTCGTTGTTAGGATCATCGCTGTGGTCGTCGTCTCCGCTAAATCCCTCTTGCCTCCCACCGCTTTCTCTCCCTCCTCCTCCGCCTCGTCCTTCTCCCGCTCCCTCCACAAGGAGGATGTACAAGGAGGCGGGAGGAAGGAGGAACAGGGGAGATATGCGGGGGCAAGCGGACACACGCCTGAGAAACACGACTGTCGGCATGCTTCGCAAGAGTTGCTGTTTTGAGATGGGCTGGTGGGGATACGCGAAGCGTAAAGAATTGAATCGAATCGAGTCGGAGGGGTGGAAACAAGCCCCGTACTGTAGCCGACAGACGCACGTGCAGCCCTGCACGTGTAGCCGCACGAGGCAACCGCCCGAAGCAATCGCGGAACGACCACGGGCCCACGGCGTATTGATCGCAAGACGCCCTCGGGACAAGCCCGGCACAGGGCAACCACGCGGCAAGCAGCACGGCAGACGCAGGCGCGGGGCGCGCACGCTGGCCTGGAGGAGAGGGGCAACAGCCTAACGCACCTGCCCTTAGCTGGGAAAGGCTCTCGGGAGCACAGTGGAGGCCACTCCACGAGAAACCTTCCGCAAGAAACCCAACCCTGACACCCCAAGACGTCCATCGAATTTTGGTGTGGGAACGTCACGCTTTCCACAGCAAAACCGTCGAAACCCAAGAAACCCAGGGCACCCTGGAGGCAAGCATAGTGTTTCTTGGTATGGGTCTCCGCTGTAACAGAAAAGCAGCGTACGCATAAGCTTTAGGAGGTCTCCAGCACCGACCCAAGAGATCCGCGGAGACCTCCGAATGAGCCTGCTGATGCCGTTTGTAGACTCTCTCTCGCACTTGCGCAGCTTCTCCCCGCCCGCACGCACGACAAGAACCGAACGCAGAAACGATCTCCTGCTGGGAATTCCGCTTCACTTCTGTCTCAACCATTCCAACCGCCGATACCAAAAAGATTAAGAAAAGCATGGTGAAAAGGAGAGAAGGAAACGGAAACGAAAATGCACAGGGACAAGCGACAATGGAGAGACAGATGCTGGAAATGCAAATTAGACTGTACACCGGCGTAGAAACCCTAAACATAAAGGCTACATGATAAAACACACACATATGGTCGACAGAACAAGGCAACTTTCTCGCATTCTGAACTACAGGCACGGCACGGCATGGCACGGCACAGCACGAACTCTTGTTCCGCATTATAAGCCTCCGGCGCGACACGGCACGGAAACTTGTTCGCATTCTGGAGAACGGCACGGCAACGTGTTCGCAGACTGAAGACAAAGCACGGCTTTCGCACTCAGAGAACCAAGCAAGGCACGGCCACATTTTCGCATTCTGGAACACGGCACGGCAACGCGTTCGCAAACCAGGACAACATGGTACGGCAACTTCTCGCACTCTGAGAACCAGACACGGCACGGCACTTCAATTCTTCCTCATTCCGAAACCCAGCCACGCCACGGCAACTGCATGGCAAAGAAAAACAAGAAGATCGGCACTGCATGGCAAAGCCACGCTTTCGCATTCAGGCAACCAGGCACGGCACGACACGGCCACCTACTCGCATTCTGACAGCCAGGCACCGCACAGCAAAGCACAGCACGACTGCCTTTTCGAATTCTGCAAATCAGGCACAGCACGGCGCGGCACGGCAACTTTTCGCATTCTAAAAAACAGGCGCGGCACGGCACGGGGCAACTTTCCGCATTCTGAAAATCAGGCAAGTCGCGGAATGGCACAGCAACAGTCTCGCATTCTGAAAACTAGGCACGGCAGGGCACGGCCACATTGTGTCGCATTCTGAAAGCCAACATCGCAACGGCACGCTAACTTTTCGCGTTCTGACAACCAAGCATGGCACGGCATGACACGGCCCAGCGATTTTTGCTTGCATACTGGAAACCAAGCCCGGCACGGCACAGCGACTGGATCGCATTCTGAGAACCAGGCACGTCACGGCACGTCACGGCACGACAACCTTCTCCGCATTCTGGGCACCAGGCCCAGCACGGCACGACAATTTCATGGCATTTTGAAAAACCAAGCACCGCACGGCAACTGTTTCGCAGTCTGCCAACCAGGGACGGCACGGCACGGCACGGCACGGCAAGGTTCTCGAATTTTGCAAACCAAGCACGGCACGTCGCGGCACGGTACGGCAACGGCTTCGCATTCTGAAATCAAGGCACGGCACGGCTCAGCATGCCACGGCACGGTCATTGTTCGCATTTTGACAACGAGGCATTGCACGACACGGCTACTTTCTCGCATTCTGACAACCAGGCACGCCACGGCACGGCCACATTGTGTCGCATTCTGAAAACCAAGAGCCGAAAGGCACGGCATGGCACGGCAACTCTTACACATCCTGAAACAGGCACGGCACGGCACGACCACCTTCTCGCATGCTGAAAACCAGGCAGCTCACGGCACGATTACTTTTCAAGTTCTACCAACCAAAGACGGCAAGGCACGGCTCTTCCGCACAGAGGAAGCCCAACACGCTACGGCACGGCACCGCAACTGCTTCGCATTCTGACAACCAAACACGGCACGAAACAGCACTGGAACTTTCTCGACTGCGGAAACCCAGGCACAACACGGCAACTGTTCCACACCCTCAGAACCAAGCACGGCACGGCACAACAATTCTTGAAACCAGGCCACGGCGCGGCACCACACGGCACGGCCATCTGTTTCGCACCCTGAAACCCATGCACGGCACGGCACGGCACACCACGCCACGGCACGGCCAACCCCTCCCACTGCGAAAAATAGGCACGGCACGGCACGCCACGGCCGCACTTCAGCAGGCCGGAAACCAGGCACAGCACGCCACGGCACGGCACGACAGCTTTTGGGGCATTCTGATAGCCAACCACGGCACGGCTGGCACGGCACAGCAACGTTTTCGCACTCTCACAACCAAACATGGCAAAGCACGGCAACTGGCCCCGCACCCTGAAAACCATGCACGGTACGGCACGGCACGGCAACTGTTTTGCATTCTGCAAACCGGGCACGGCAAGTCACGGCCGGTGTCCCGCATTCTGAAACCCAGGCACGGCGCAGCACAGCCACTCTGTCGCATTCCGAAAACCAAGCGCCGAACGGCACGGCACGTCAAAGCCGCTTTTTCGCATTCTGAGAAGCCGGCTCGGCATGGCACGACCACTTTGGCGCATGTGAAACCAGGCGCAACACGGCACGGCAACTGCGTCCGCAGTCTGGAGATCAGGCACGGCACGGCACGGCCACTACGACACGGCACGGCACGTCAAGTGCTTCGCAATCGGAGAACCAGACATGACACGGAACGGCAAGACTTGACACGCGTGCGGCTCCGCAATCCGCAAAGCAAAACCACGTTCGTAATACAATTCGGCCTGACAGCACCCGCTGCATTGGGACAATAGCACTGGGACCCTAGGCGAGAACCAACCCTCTGGGCGCGGATGGTTCTGTGTGCCAACGCTTCCGTAAAAACTCATGCTTCCGACTCGGGAACATGCTACCGCCCACCCCCTATTCCCTTACAGGGCCTGGACCAGGAGGGTCGGCCGGATATCGCCCTATATAGCTTCCAGATGGAGCTGGATGGCCCAAGACCCATCCCAAGATGATGCGAGATGGCCCAAGTTAGCCCAGATATGCCGAAATCCCCCACACAGCTGCAAGAGGCACCAACGAGTCCTTCTGGTGACCCTTATGAGCCTCCCAAGGAGGCGCCCGTTCGACCGAGATCATCGCAGACGTCACGGTGCTGACAGTGTGGCTGTTCTCGTCGTTTGGGTTTTTCCGATGGGCACTGGAGGCTTCAAGGTAGCCCCAAGATGGCCCACGAGTGTCCCAAGAGGGGCCAAGCTTGGCCCAAAGAGTGCACAAAAAAGGCCACCAGAGCACCTCATGAGTGTCACAGGAGGGCCCACAGAGCTAATCCCACCAGCCGTCTCTGGGCGCAGGTGGTCTAACGGATCAGCGTTTCTGACCCCCTTCGTCCCCCATGCCCCTACACCGCAAGACTTCCCTTCACGCCTAGCCACGCGAAGAAGGCGTTTGAATGCCTGTCGGGATGGATGTGTGGTCGATTTGAGGCCCGTCAGAGGCCACACCATGTCGTCTCTTGGGGGACCTCTGGGGGGGGCTCTCGAAGGCCTGCTGCGAACTTCTGGGGTGCACCTTGACGCCTCCTGGGACGTGGTGGGGGGGGGCTCCTGGAGACTGCCTGGCTGCACACCACGGCTCGCTCCAACGGCCAGGTCTGAGCGGGATGGTGGGGATACGTGAAGCGTCAAGAGTAGCTCGGAATCCCGAGGGACCAGACCCGCACCTGGCCAAATCCTGATCCGCTTGCGGGGCTGCTCAAGTCAATATGTCGTGCCAGAAGGGCCAGGGTGAAACAGCAGAGAAGGTGTGCTAACCTTCTGGGCGGCTTCTGCTTAAGCCAATGACAGATCGGTGGGTCGTACATGAGCGGGAACGCTGGGTCGATGTTGTCCCCTGGGCACGCAATGGGAATTGTCGTGGTGGTTCTGGACGTTGTAGAAATGGAGGTGGTAGAGGCTGTGCTGGTCCCTGTAGTGCTTGACAGTGTCGATGTCATCGTCGACGAACCGCTCGTCTCTGTACTGGATGACAGGGTGGTACTTGACATTGTCGAGGAGAGGCTGCTGGTCTGTGTTGTGCTCGACAATGTCCTGCTCGTTGACGATGAGGCGCTGCTTGTCCCTGTGGTGCTCGACAAAGTCGAGGTGATGGTCGCCGAAGTGCCGCTGGTCGCGGAGGTGCTTGCAAACGTAGTGGTCTGCGTGTAGCTGCTGGTTTGAGTGCCACTGGAATGTGTACTAGAAGTCCCAGTTACACTCGAGAAGGTAGGCGTACTGGACGAAGTAGTTGTAGACGAAGCAGTTGTGCTCGTAAGCGTTACGGACGAAGCAGTTGTGCTCGTAAGCGTTACGGACGAAGCAGTTGTGCTCGTGAGCGTCACGGACGAAACAGTGATGCTGGTGTGCGAGGAAGTTATGCTTGTCAGCGTTGCGGACGAAACAGTTGTGCTCGTAAGCGTTACGGACGAAGCAGTTGTGCTCGTGAACGTCACTGACGAAACAGTGAAGCTGGTGTGCGAGGAAGTTATGCTTGTCAGCGTTGCGGACGAAACAGTTGTGCTCGTAAGCGTTACGGACGAAGCAGTTGTGCTCGTGAGCGTCACTGACGAAGCAGTTGTGCTCGATCTTGACGTTGTAACGGTAGTACTCGTCGTCTCGCTCGCGCTTGTCACCGTCGAAGAAGAAGTCCTTGTGAATGTTGCTGTCGAGCTTGTCGCTGTCAAGCTAGTTACCGTGGACACAGTGACAGAGCTCGTGACAGTGCGAGACGATGTAAATGTGGTGGTGGAGACGGTGACAGAAGTCGTGCTCGTTCGCGTCCAGCTGTCTGTAAGAGAAGACAGGCTGCTGGAGATGGTCAAAGATGTGGTGCTAGTCCAAGAGTTAGTACTGGTTTGAGTATGAGAGTTCGAGGTGTCGGTACTTGTCAGCCGCGTGGAGCTGCTCGTTGAAGAGGCTGATGTGCTTGTCACCGTGCTGGTCGGCGTGATGCTGGTAGGCGTGGTGCTGGACTGTGTATTGGTTTCAGAGGTGCTTGTGACTGTGGTGCTGCTCAGGGTGGTGCCGGTAGTCCATGTGCTACTCTCTGTGAAGCTACTCAGCGTGGTACTGCTGCTATCTGTGTGGGTCTCTGTAGCGCTGCTTAGTGTGGAGCTGCTGGTCTCCGACAAAGTGGTGAGGGTGACGCTGCTTGTCCATGTTGTGCGCGTGATTGTGATAGTGCTCGTGATACTCCGCGAGGTGGTGCTCGTGCCGGTTTTGCTGGTATGAGTGGTGCTGGTGCCAGTGATACTAGTGCCTGTGGAACTAGTACTTGAACTGGATGTGCGCGTCGTGGAGCTTGACGTGGCAGTGGTGCTGCTCCAACTCTCCGTGGTCATGCTCGACGTCTCGGTGGTCCTGCTCACCGTGCTGCTCGAAGTGGCCGAACTGGTCGAAGTCGTTGTGCTCGATGACTCGGTGGTACCGCTCAATGTGCTGCTCGCAGTGGCTGAGGTAGTAGTAGTCATCGTGATCGAGGTATTGGTGGTCGAAGTCTTGGTGACCGAACTCATGGTGGTGCTGCTGACCGTACTGCTTGAAGTGATGCTGCTGGTGTCCGTCGTGATAGACGAGCTGATAGAGGAGGCCGTCGAAGTCGAGGTGGCGTCGGTCCACGTTGTGTCACTGGACGTTGACGATGCGCTTACACTTGAGACGCTGGTTGAAGTGACGGTGCTACTGCTGGTGCGGGTGCTGCTGGAAAATGTGTCAGTCGTGCTAGTGGGCGTGGTGCTGTGGGCAGTGGTCGTGCTGGTTACAGAGCTGCTGCTGGTCGGAGTTGTGCTGCTCATGGTGGTAGGAGTGGTGCTTGTATAAGTGCTGGTGGTCGTGCTGGTACGACTGATGCTGGTTACAGAGCTGCTGCTGGTCAGCGTGATGCTGGTCGTGCTGGTGCGACTGCCACTTGTAAAGGTAGCAGTGGTCGTGCTTGTGCCAGTGGAGCTTGTCACCGTGGAGCTTGTCCCCGTAGAGCTTGTCCCCGTTGAGCTTGTCGCTGTGGAGCTTGTGCCCGTGGAGCTTGTGCCCGTGGAGCTTGTCCTGGTGGAGCTTGTCAGAGTGGAGCTTGTTCCAGTGGAGCTTGTCAGAGTGGAGCTTGATCCAGTGGAGCTTGTCAACGTCGTACTGCTGCTCCGAGAGAGCGTAGTTGCCGTCCTGGTGTTGGTGGTCAAGGTGCGAGTGGACAGGCTGGTGCTGGTATAAGTGAGCGTCCTCGAAGTCTCAGAGATGCTGGTCACAGAGGATGTCAGCGTGCTGGAGCTGGTCTCGGTTGTACTCGTCAGGCTCGAGCTGGACGTTTCGGTCGTGGTGGTCAGCGTGGTCGAGGTGGTGGAGGATGCCGTGGTCGTCGAAACGGGACTGTAGCCCTCAAGGCATGCGACATGGCAGCGCACGCCTGGAGTCCGAGGCTCGCAGGCCGAGAAGTCAACCCCGCACGCGTCCGCGGGCACCGCGCAGGGCACCAGCTCGTCGCAACCAGACAGCAACAAGCGTGGGGAGCAAATGGAGTTAATCTTGCACTCCGTGGAGACCGTGCCGGTGAAGCCCTCGGCGCACTCCCAACGCTCGGGAGTGTCCCCGCTGCCACGGTGGTACTCGTAGCCCCGGGGCACAGGGTCTGGGATCGGGCATCTGGGGTACTGGCAGACTGGAAGGTCCAGCAGCGGCTCTGTGTCGGGGTCGAGATTGTCCTGCGGGCAGGTGGCGACGGAGGCGTTCCCCTCCAGGTACCACGCGCACTCGACCTCGCACGAGCCCCCCGCCTCCAGCTGGGAGGGACAGCCGCCCGCCTCGTGCAGGCACGGGTCCAGCTGCAGGGGCGCGCACGGCACGACGGGCGCGCAGCCGGACAGCGCGGAGCGGGTCGCGCAGGAGGAGTCCCAGGGGCCGAGGTACGCCGAGCTCACGCTGCAGTCCACGAAGGCCTCCTCGACGCCGCCCTCGAGCGCGAACCCTGGCAGACACTGCCAGCTGCTGTTGGTGGCGTTGGTCCGCTCGTACCCAGCCTGTGCGACGGCTGGGGCCGGGCACTCGAGGAAGCAGGCCGGCAGAAAGAGGTCCAAGTCGGCCCCCTGCTCTGTGTTGCTGGCCGGGCAGCGGGCCGCCGTCGGCGTCCCAGCGTATGGCGCCTGGCACCCCACCTCGCAGGCGACGCCAGCCTCCAGCAGGAATCGGCCGCCGGGGCCCTCGGTGCTTTTGTTGAGGCAGTCTTCAAAGCTGTATTTGCAGAGGTCAACGAGCTGCGGATATGGGCTCAGGCAGGGGAAAGTCTTCGTGCACCCTGAAAGGTATGACACCAGGTCGCAATCGTCGTTCCAGTCCACGGTGCTGAAGTGGCAGCCAAGAGTCGCAGTGCCAGTGTAGCCTTCGGCGCAGGCCCACTCCAGCGTGGAATTCGACGTGGAATTCGACGTAGAATTCAACGTGTAGACCTCCACCTTCTCGTAGCCCACAGGGACGTGCTCTGGGTCGGGACATGGGATCCTACACTCCGGGAGGACGAAGCTCATCGGCCTCGACGGCATCGCGTTGTCGGCTGGGCACGTCGCCACCGACGGCCCCCCTACAAGCACGAGGCCCTCTTGGCACTGCAGCATGCAGCTTGCACCGGGTGCAGTATTGTTCGTGCAGCTGGAAGCATCATAGAGGCAGTGGTCCACATTCGGGTGGGCACAGTCCGAGGAGTTGCCGCAGCCGTCGAAGATGGCCTTCAGGCAGGTCTCGCCCTTCTCCCTGATGAACTGACAGCCTATGCCAGTTGTTGTGGTGGTCGTCGAGGAGGTGGTGCTGGTGGTTGTCGTCGTCCTTGTGGTCGAGGTAGTGGAAGTCGTAGTCGTGGTTGCGGAAGTTGTCGTGGTCGTGTTCGTGTAGGTCGTAGTAGTAGTGGTGGATGTACTTGTCGTTCTTGTAGTCGTCGTACTTGTAGTCGTCGTCGTTGTAGAGCTGATCGTGGTTGAGGTTGTTGTCATGGTTGTCGTAGTCGAGGTGGTCGATGTAGTCGAGGTCGTTACAGTGTTGTTGGGCGTAGTCCCTGTCGTCAGAGTTGTCGTAAAAGTGATGGTCGTCACGCTCGTTGTAGTCGAGGACGTATTCGTGGTGCTGGAGGAAATTGTACTGGAAGACGTCATGCTGGTAGAGGTCAGTGATATGGATGTGCTCGATACCGTGCTGCTCATCAGTGTGGTGCTGCTGGAAATACTGGTTGTTGCTGGAGTGGCCGTGGTTGTTGCTGGAGTGGCCGTGATAGTTGTGAAGCTGCTAGTAACAGTGCTGCTAGTAAGAGTTCTTGTGGTGGTAGTGCCGCTAGTGACAGTCATGGTCGACAGACTCGTCGCAGTTGTGGTGGTGTTGGTGGCTGATGTCCCAGTCGTGGTGGACACCGTGCTGGTGACGCTTACTGTCGCCGTCGAAAGCGTAGTGCCTGAGGTTGAAATCGCGCTAGTTGTACTCGTGAAAGTTTCGCTCGATGTAGAAGTAGATGTGTTTACCGACAGTGTTGTCAGTGTGGTCGTGGTACCTTGCGTGGTCGTTTGTGTTGCCGTGGCCGTGGTCGAGGTCATCGTCAAAGTGGTGCCAGTAGTGGTGCAGGCTTCCTCGATCTCGCAGCCTATACTGGGAGTGCCGCCGTAACCAGCGGCGCAGACCCAATCGCCAGTCGTCCCACTCGAAATGACCGAACTGTCCAGCAGGACATAGCCTGCTGGCGGCACCTCTGGATAGGGGCACTGCAGGCGACACTCCGGTAGCGAGGCCAAGGGCACTGCTGGCACTCCCACCTGCGTGTTGTTCGGTGGGCACTGGGCCAGGACGAACTCCCCCACGTACGGGGACCCGCAGCGGATCTCGCAGAGCTGACCTGGCATGACGCCCTCGCAGTCTGCTAGGTCGTAGGGGCACATGTCGTCACCGACCGGCGGGCCACACGGCGCCAGGATCTCGCAACCCAATAAGGCTGGCTCGGCGCTGCAACTGACGTCGTCCACTGCACAGCCCAGCTGCACCACGCCGACGTACCCGTCCTCGCACTCCCACTCCCAGGAGCTCCAGGAGCTCCCGTTGCTCCCGTTGCTCCCGTTGCTCCCGTTGCTCCCGTTGCTCCAGTTGCTCCAGTTGCTCTCGTTGTCCTCGGCCCCTCGGATCACCTCGACCAGCCTGTAGCCCTCTGGAAGAGGCTCGCCCACAGCCCCACAGCTCGACAACTCGCACTGCGGCCAGGAGAAAGCCAGCGCCCCATCGTCGACGTTGTCGGGCGGGCAGGTCGCAACCGTCGGCTGGCCAACGTACGGCCACGAGCAGCGGAGCTCGCAGGACGAGCTCCCGGGCACGCTGGCGCCGCAATCGGAGACGTTGAGCACGCACGGCACCTCGGGCTCGGGTACCTTGCACTCCCTGAGCGCCTCGCACCCACTGAGCCAGAGCTCGCGATGCCCGGCACAGATCGGGCTCGCTGAGCACCCCTCCTGCACATTGCCAACGTAGCCGTCCGCACAACGCCAGCCTCCCTCCGTCTTGACATAGCCCGCGGGCACACCGTCGCACTGGTACTGGCACCGCAGGGCGTAGCCCTCGGGCTCCTGCATCCGGTTCACGTTGGCCTCGGGACACCGCAGCACCGTGGCAGTGCCTGCACAAGGTGCTGCGCACGAGAGGTTGCAGGAGTCGCCAGGCGCCAGCCCCGAGCAGTCGGCGGTGCCCTCCAGCTCGCAGAAGCCCTCCTGGGGCGGCAGCACCGGGTCCACGCAGGGCACCACTTCCTCGCACCCAGAGAGCTCCAAACTCCACTCGCAAGCGTCGTCGACAGCCGTGGATACCGTGCAAGTGGATACGGGGACCCCGAGGAAGCCCTCCTCACAGAGGTAGCGACCGGGCGACTGCATGACTATACCCTCCGACGTCACTGTCTCTACGGCGCCATCCAGGCTCATCTCGGCGCTGGCATTCACGTCGTAGCCACGCGGCATCAGCATGGACCCCTCGGCAGGATGGCCCAAAATCGAATTGGAAGATCGAATCGGAAATCGAAATACGTCGAAGCGGCAGAAATCGGTGCATCGAAAACGACGCCCGGCTGCCCGAGCCGACGCCTGCACAAAGAAACCCGAACCGAACTCGAAACTCGGAATCGGATTGAAATCGAAGTCTTGGAAATCAAATCACTCCGACTCGACACAGTCGAAACGGCTCCTGCCTCTGGGGCGCTCAAGAAAACGGTGAGCTCCAGAGGCTCGGGGCACAGGAGCAAGCACCCCTCGAGTGAAACTTCGTACGGCTTGGAGGGATCCACGTTATCAGCAGGGCACGTCGCATTTGCAGCTTGTCCGACGAAAGGAAACTTACAGGGAACCTCGCAGATCTCCCCTGGCAGCACCATCTCGCAGCTTTCGAGGTCGCGGCGGCACGTGGTCAGATCAGGCTTGATGCATGGCAAGGGCATGTAGCACCCCGAGACGGAACTATCCAAGAAGCACATATTGCCTCCCAGCGTCCCACTATACACGCCCCACGTGGTGCACTCCACCAGGGCCTCTCCAGCGTACCCCTCGTCGCAGTCTACCTGCCAGTAGCCCTTAAGACAGGTGCGGATGGTGTTGGTGCTGTTGGTGCTGTTGGTGCTGTTGAGGCTGTTGAGGCTGCTGATGTTGTCGTTGCTGTCGTCCCAGCTGGTGCACACCCAGGTTCTAACGTAACCTGCAGGCAGCGTGTCGGGGGGCGGGCAGCGCAGAAGGCACTCAGGAAGTGTGCCATTGAGAACCCCGGGCGGGTCGACGATCTCCTGTGGTGGACAGCACGGAGACAATACAATTAGATCGAAAAACACGTGTGGCTCTTTTGCTGTACACACGGACAACACGGTGTTCTTAACCAGCCTCATTCACACTGGGACATACTCACGTCCAGGCTCACTCAGACTACAGCCGACTCACACTCAACCTTGTTCGTACCCACGCTCAGCCAGCCGTGTTCACTAAGGCCCACCAGCAGTCAGACTGACGCACCACTCCCACCGAAGCTTCGGACACAAGCATATCCGGTCACTCCTTCTCAGACCCACTCAGATTCAGACTCACGTGATGCTCACGATCGCCGCGATGTGGCGGGCATCGCACTCGAACCTCCCCAGAGGGGGTGTCGACCAAGGGCGTGCCACGGGCCCGACCCCGTGGCCACCGCGGTGCAGCAGCCACCGCACGGGCCCGTCCGCGCCCGGACTGGCGGGACCTCTCTCGGGCAGCTTGGGGATAAATTGCGGGCCCCGAGGGCACACACCACCACCACCACCACCACGTCGAGTTCTCCTCCCTTCTCCACATTCTTCTTCCTCGACTCCTTCCTGGGAGATGAAGGGGGTGAGGGAGGTGGTGGTGATGTAGATCTGTGGGCCCCGAAGATAAGGCGCGTCTCTTTTTCATAGCCTCATTGCCATCGCGATGCAGCAGGCATCGCACACAGGCCTCCCAGAGCGGGGGCAACTCTCTCGTAGCTCTTACTACAGGTCCTACCTTTGCTCTGGCCACAGGTTCTACACTGATTCTCGCTACTGCACTTCTTACTACGGATCAGACAACAACCGAGGTCGACAACTAGGGCTGGTACCACAGCTCGTGATGGAGCTCATACTACGTGTCCTATGGCAGCTCTTCTCACGAGTCACACGAACTACAGAAAAAAGGAAAGCATCTCTCAATACAGCTACTGTTCCATATTGGCGGGTGGGGGGAGGATGGAAGACAAAGGGATGACGACGATACACTATGAGAGGGAAGAGGTTGGAAACGGCAGGAATGATGAGCGGGAATCAGAAGTGCAGTGGGGAGGTGCTGGGGGCGGGCATGCATGTATACATTTGAAATTGTATACATGGTATACATGTATACAAGCATATGCATATGCATATGCGTATACACATGCATGCACATATGCATATACATATGCACATACACATACATATACACATACATATACACATACATATGCATACACCTATGCATAAAATTACATATGCACGTACATATACAAATACTAAAACAACTGCAAATACACATACGCATACACATACACATACATAGACATATACGTATACACATACCTACAAACGTACATACATACAATTCTACGTACATGCATACATACAGGCAGACAGACATACATGCACACAACAGACATACATATATAGAGACATGTATCCATACATATACACATATACATGCACACGCAAATCTAGGACATGCATATGTATATACAGCGCCGGGGTACTCTTGTCCTACTACACACGCACACACGCACACGCACAGGCGGTCTTGACGCCGAGGCCGTGCGCGCGGCTTCGCGCGGCTTCGCGCGGCGGCGCGGCGTAGCATTTGTCATGCGGGCGCGCGCGGGCCTGGCCAGCTCACGCAGCCTGGAGAAGCTAGAATCCGCCCATCAGGGATCGACAGCCACACTCGCGCGGGGGCAGTCGCGAAGGGAGACGGGAGGGGCGAAAGGAGAAAGAGGAGGAAAAGGAGGGAAACGGGGACAGGGAGAAGCAGTGCGACAGTGACGAGCTGAGGTAACAAGCGAGGCGCAGCAGGAAGGCGGCCGCGGCAGCCGACAGGGATGCACAGACAAGGGAGCGTGAGGAATCCTGGGCCAGGCCAGGAGGCCACCGCATACGCACATACACACACAAACACAAACACGCACACAGACACACACACACACACACACACACACAACCACACACAACCATACACACACACACACACACACACACACACACGAACACACACACACACACACACACACACACACACACACGCGCACACACACACACACACACACACACACACACACACACACACACACACACACACACACACACACACACGCACACATACACACAATCACACACACTCTCTCACGCACATACACACACACACACAGACACACACACACAGGCGAAGCGCACCCTCCCAGGGCACTTTCCTCCTCCTTTTCCTCCTCCTCCTTCTCCTCGTCATCCTCCTCCTCCTCCTCCTCCTCCTCCTCCTCCTCCGCTTTCATCCTCCTCCTCCTCCTCCTCCTCCTCTTCCTCCTCCTCCTCCTCCTCTTCCTCCCTCTCCTCCCCCTCCCAGTTCTCGTCCTGCGCACCGCTCCCCCCCCGTCGTACGCGCGCAGCGCACACATACGCTGACTGGAAAAATACAAGCTCTCTCACCCCCGCACTCCCACATGCTACCGCGAGCCTTGTGAGGAATTGCGTGGTGTAGGTGCGTCCCATCACGCCGCCCTAAACTGATTGACGACCTCCCTCGCCGAGACGGCGCGCACACAGCACGGGCCGCATGCAGCGCTGAGCTTGCGGCGCCGTGGTTGTGATGCGACGCGAGTGGTTGGCAAAGGCTGGGACCACCAATACATGGATGGGGCCAGTCCTGGCGTTTGGGTGCATCTAAAGCAGCGTTCGGGGTGTGTTTATTACTGTCGGATGGCTGCACAGCGGACCGTGCCCTACCCACGTAACGCCCCCTCATCCAGCGCCGCTTGCATTGTTTGGCCGGGAACGAACGAACGAACACACACACACACACACACAGACCTAAACAAACAAGCAAACAACCAAACAAACAAACAAACAAACACACACACACACAAGAGTATATGCACGTACACCCACACACAGACACGCACGCACGCACGCACGCACGCACGCACGCACGCACGCACGCACGCACGCACACACACACACACACACACACACACACACACACACACACACACACATACACACACACACACACACACACACACACACACGCACACACACACACACTCACACACACTCACACTCGCACACACACACACACACACACAAACAGACAGACAGACAGACTGACAGACTGACAGACAGACACATTCAAGTGCATCCAAGCCCACAGGCTTGGAAAGGGAACTGGGACCCCTACAACGCAGGCATTAATGTGGGAGCGCTGCTGAAAAAAAAAAATGTGTGGGATTCTGCTCCAAAGTCACTGCCTTTTTGAGACCACTGATCCTTGAGGCAGCTCCACTGGTGCGGCTCACCCTCGTAAGGTTCCTTGCAGCCTATAAGGCACGACTCGCCTGGCTCGATGCCGCCGCAGCTGCTGAGATCGTACACGCAGTCGTCGATGACCCTGGGATCTGGGGCCGTGCAGGGGAGCCCAGGGTAGCACCCCTGCAGCTCCCACTCCGCCACGCAGTCCGCATCTATGACGCACTCTGCCCTGAATGCGGGCAGACTGGAGACGTAGGTCACATTCGCCGAAGTCAGCACACTATGATCCTCATCACTGCTGTCCTCCTCGTAGCCGATGGCACAAGACCAGTTGCCCGCTTGCGACCTGTTGTACCCGAGCGTCAAAGGGTCTGGAGTTGGACATACCAAGCTGCACTGCGGGAAAATGTATGCTGGCCTGTAGGTGGCGTCGGTGTTGCTCCCAGGGCATGTGGTTACAGATGGGGCGCCGTCGTAAGGGTGCTTGCAAAGTATGCTGCACTGCTCACCAGGCTGGAGGCTCACACATTCCGACGCGTTGAACATGCACTCGTCCGTGATGTTTGGCGGGAGGCAAGGCATCAACTCAATGCAACCCGAGATGGTCACAACAATGGTGCAGTGATCGTCCTCGTAGCAATCCGTGGTAGGATCCCCAATGAAACCCACGTCGCACCGCCAACCAGTTTCTGCCGTCCAATTATAACCTCGCGGTGCGTCCGCCGGCGGCAAGTCGGGGCAGGACAGGTTGCACTCGGGCAGCCCGTCCCACTCCATCATAAGCATCTCCTCCGCGTCGTCGGCGACGCCGCTGTCCAGCAACACGGAAACGTCGTTGCCCTGTGGCACGACCGAGCCGTTCAGCTCCGACGTGTTCGAGCCGTTCAACTCCGACACGTTCGAGCCGTTGGCATCCCACGCGTTCGAGCCGTTCAACTCTGACACGTTCGAGCCGTTGGAATCAGACGCGTTCGAGCCGCCCAGCTCCGACACGTTCCAGCCGGTCAGCTCCGACGCATTCGAGCCGTTGCGACGCGACACGTTCGAGCCACCGAGCTTGAGCGAGCACACGGCGGGCTTCGTCCGGCCGACGTACGGGTAGCGGCAGCGCAGCTCGCAGGACTCACCTCGGTGGGAGCCGAGGGAACGTCTCTGGCTGCGCGCTTTCTTCCCTTCTCTCCCCTGAGGTTCCCTGAACAACATTTCCAAAGGAGGGAGGGTCAGGGTCGGACAAGGCTGCTGCGCTCTATGGCTGCTGCGCTCTATGGCTGCCCGTGACCTTCAGTCCCATAGTTGCCCGTGGCCCCTTGCATGCCCGTGGCCCTGTGACTCGTGGCGCCTTGTGGTACCTCGCATTGCCACCTTCGTCAAATCCTGCACTCTTGCTCGCCCGTGCGTGCGGGCCTGGGGATGCTTCAAGCCGCAAACCCAGGCAGTGCGGCCCACGCGCCTTGAGCTCCTGCGAGGCCCAGGATCCTGTACACGTCCTCTCGGCGATGCAGGAGATGCATGAACGCCGACGCCAGGTCAGGCCAGGTTTGAGTCGAGGGAGGAAGGCAGGCGGAGGAGGCGGAGGGAGACGAGGCCGCAACGGTGCACACGGATGATCTCGCCACCGACACAGCGGCGTATGACATCGAGCGAGTGGACCTGGAGGCAGCAAGCAGAAGTGGCCTGGCGCCAGGCGGAGATATGTACCCATCGGTCGGAAGAAGGGGGTTAGAAACATGAAGTAGGCAGGCGTTGGAAATAGATTGCGCTTCCGCCCGCCCCCTGAAGAGGAGGGAAAAAGGAAAACAACTCGATGATTGAAGTAGGAAGGCGCCTAAAGTAGATTGGAATCTGGGAATCCAAAAATACCCACTTTCTACGACCGGCGTGTACTCTTTCCCTGGCACGCTAAGCCCGCAGGCAGGCGGCCGGGGGGGGGGGACAGTGGCCCTCAGCTTCACGCACTGATGGCCAGTGCTTTTCTGCACCTGCCGTCGCAGCCTTCCTGGATTCCGACTCGTGCGTCCAGGCGCAACCCTCCGAGCCCAGCTTCAACCGCGTCATCGTAAGCTGAGGCAGCGCACCCTCGAACCAGGGAACGTCAGATAGCATCTCGATGCGAAGTGTCCCTGGAGAGTTGAGCTTCAGGCCATGTGGACCGACGAGCCTCGCTGGGCGCGCTGGGTACACAAGCGTTCGCATTATCCTTCGAGGGGACTGGTGCCCTTTGAAAGTTACAGCAGTCCTAACAAAGCATCCGCATGCTTGGAATTGTTGGCAACAGCCTTCGCGGGGCCAGCGACCAAGTCAAGAGATCTATGGCGTAGGTCCATCGTTCATGGCATGCACGGAGATGGGTCGCAGGCTGTGCCGTGCCGTCGTCGCTGGTTGTCATGGGGCCCACTACGCGCTGGGACCAAACTGTGACATCCTGGCGCCGAAAATGGTGGCGGAGGGCCCTGCCACTGCTGCACAACTCAGTCCCGTCCTTGTAAGCGTCGCGCTGCGCCATTATATCTTGAAGGGTCCCCACCAAACGGACGATGGGAACTGCACCTACCAGCATGATTCCCTTGCTGGGCTGAGCGCCGTTCTTGCGCGAGCCGTCCGCCTCGCCTACGATGGCGGCACACTTGTTGAAAAACAGCATGTGCAGTGATGGGGGTTTGAAGGGGCGCCCGGGGAGGGGGGGGGGAGGGGTAAATCCAAGCGCGCAAGCCGCTGCTCTCGCATCGCATTCACCGATCGTGGGCCCCGAGTGGGCCCGCATCAAAAAAAACTCTCGGCGAAGGGTCATTCTTGCGTGTAGCCGAGACCAGCGACACTGAGTCCTGCAGACTGGCCACTTCGGTTAGGAACTTGGATGTTTGCTCCAACTTGCCCGTCCGAAGTGTGACCCCACTGCCCCTCGCTTTCTGGAGCCCCATCTGCATGGCAGCCTGCCGCATGAAAATGGAACAGCTGGCAGAGGCTAGTCTGGGCTTGGCACATGTGAGTGATTGCAGCATTCTGCAGCGCTTGCTAGGCGGCTTTGGGCGATTGTTACAGCAGGGCATGGAGCTCGCCGTGGCCTGCAACCCTGTGGCGACTGGCGAAGACACCATTAGTGTGATCAGATCACCCACTGGCGTCCCAGCTACACGTGTCCCAGCCAATGACATGGTGCTTGTGCGCTTCCACCCTTCCCCGGATGCCGCGCTTGCAGTGATCGTCCCCTACACGAAAATGCTTACACAGTGTCCGCGGACCACGATCGTGTTGATGGTCGCAGTGGCGCTGTCGTGGTTTACAACGATATGTTCGAACTGCGGCGACTGTCCTGATGTTCGTGGCGGGCCCCCCTGTAAAGCAGAACATTGGAGTCGAGGGCCAGGTCACGCCAGCCAAGTCAGGGCAGCGTCCTCACCCGACATTTGATACTGGATCCAGAAAGTTGCGGGCCACGGAGGAGGAGGAGGAGGAGAAGGAGGAGGAGAAGGACGACAACGACGAGCAGGAGAAAGCGCAGGAAGAGCAGGATGAACAGGAGGACGAGGCATATGTCGTCAATGTCTGCTTGGACGTCTCTGGTCGCCAGGTAAGAGCCCCGTGCAGTCGGTGGCGTCGACGAAGCAGAACTTCCTGTCGATCGCAGGCGGCGAGCACGTCGGAAGCGGCTCGCAGCCGGCGAGCGTGAGATGCGGGCTGCAGTCCTATGATGATGCAAGCTAAACCCCAGCACCAGACCTCCTCCGTTTTCTCCTCCTCCTCCTCCTCCTCGTTCATCCTGCTGCTGTTCTTCTTCTCCCTCCTCCTCCCCCTCCTCCCAAGAATCCCCCTGCTCCTTCTACTCCTCCATTTGTTCCCCCGCCAACTCCTCATCCTCCTCCTGACCCTCTTCCTATTCGTCCTTCTCCTCCATTCCTGTTCCTTGCGAGCGATTCCTCGAAGTCACACTGTCAGACATGTCGACAGGGCAGTGCGGGCGTTCCGCCAACGAGTTGCTCAGAACGTTCCTAAAGCTCGAACTGCCCAACGGGCACACGAACGCAGCTCTCGCCATAGCGGCGAGCGCATGCGTCTGACAGGTCCTACAACCCTCACGAAGAGAAAGGCCCTCCCCCATCCAAAATTGGCTCGTGACGAGGCCGCTCCCGCACCGGAGATTTCGATACACGTTGGATTGAGGATGGGTGGGGCCGTTGCGAGAAGATGACCCCATGACCAGGCAATCCCACGAAGACTCCGATGCGATCCCGAAACCCCTGAAACCCATGGCCACGGTCGTCAAGCTAGTCTTCCGTTTGTGACAAGTTGAACGGATGTAGAACGGATCGTGTTCAAGATGTGGCTATCGCCCCTTAGCGGCATGCACATTCGTTTTTCAGGCTTCGAGCTGATACGCAGATGGACGACGACTGGCTTCAACAAGTAGCTCTCACCGTAGCACCGCGTACATCCATGCATCTCAACCGTCATACGGATGGAGGGCGGTATCTGTAGAAAACGCTGCTGTCGACTAGGGTTTCCTCGCGTTTTTTTATGGCATGAAGCTCAGAATGCCTAACAACTCCGTGGATCGAATGTGGCTCATTCTCGCCAATGACTTGATTGAAGTGCACAACCCTGGAACTTGAACATGCCCAGCTGCTGCACACATTGACGACGGCCTGCTTCGAAGTCTGCACTTCGCGTGCAATGTATGCACACTCTGAGAGTTCAGAGATGGTGGGCCTTCCGTTTCAGAAGCGAGCCCTTCACTCAGAACAACTCAGGTAAGATAACAAAGCTCTAAATACGCTTACAAGCTAGTTCAATGTTCGCCATCATGGTCTCGTGACGGCGCCGTGCGCTTCTTCAAATAATATCCGCCATCGTGCCTTGTTGACTTGAGGCGTGCAAGGTCTGCCTGGCCAGATTTCTGTAATTTTCTCAGGCCCCCCCCCCCTTCGGGACGCGCTTCCTTGCATGCAACGCCCCCTCTCCCCGAGGCTGCCTGGGTTACCTCACACCTCCCTGGCCCTCTCCAAGGCGTCATGGTTGCCCAAGATGGCTTCAGAGACGGCCCATCAAACGGCCCACGAGGCCGCCGAGGCATCTCAAGAGGACCTCGAGAGGCAAGAACTGCGCATTCTATGTTGGTGTTATCATGTTTCTCGGATTGCCGCCGTTTCGAGCTTCCTACGTCACAAGACCGCCCGTGAGGCCACCAGGACTGCCCCCAAGACGGCCCGTGAGGCCTCCAGGAGGGCCCGAGGACGGCCCAAGGGGGATCCATGACCGCCCAGAGAGGCGCCCACGAC